GGGAGCCAGTGTCATTTTGGAAGAAAGTTAGGCTTCGTCAGGACCCGACCCTGCGACCTTTCGATCCGCGGGTGAGCGTCTAGACACTACACCATGGGTGATCTTTCAATATATAGGACAGTATAACACTTCCGTCTGGTAGGACGGAAATGTGCCAACACACTATACAGTATCCACTTGGCAAGACACAGTGAAATGTCAGTACCTAACATTCCTTATCTGCACAAGACTGCTAGCAGCAGCAGGCTAGTGTAGCATTTGTGGGTGCCCCAATTATAGCTTATTTGAAGGTTGAAAAGGATATCCTAAATTTTCCCCGTAGGTCCACTTTTCAAGGTGAGAGTTTTGACGTCTTGCGAGTGATCAAACCTATCGGTAGCAGCCTAGCCGGTGATCTCACAGAAGTTGATCAGTGAACTGAATGAAGTAATCAACCAGGAATAGGCATCACTATACTTCGGATATTCCCACACTCTTGTCTCCTTCCTTAGTGGCCAAGGTTGAGTCGACGTGATAACACATTGTACACCGCTTAAAACAGAGCTATTTATCTGGCGGCTCGCAGGACGAGTCCGGCTCGCTGAAGCCCAAACAATGGTCAGTGGATTATTGCCAGCTCATGATCATTCTACGCTGGAGCTCGATTCTCTGACCCATGATGATCACCTACTTGCAACTCTTTGGCAATCTCAGATGTGACAAATTTCTTTTGTGAAGATGATTTTATTTATCCCAGGCAATTTTTCTTGCTGGAATTATTTTCTGGATAAGAGGAGTGTCTGACAAGACGAACCATTTTTGGGTCCCCGGTGAGTTCTTAGTATCAGCTCTGCTTTGTGGTACTAGTTGCAACCTGTTCACGGTTGGCCTATGCACACCCCCCCCCCCCCCGGGGTTAAATATCTTCAAAAACATCTGTTCACTTGTCGCTGAATGAAATACACAGCTCTGGAAAGACTGAATAGAAAGAGAATTCATCAAAGAACTTTTTTTTTTAAAGAGAAAACTGAAATGGTTTGGCCACATTAAATGACATATTACGCTATTAAAAGGGAAAGGCCAATTGCAAGAAGTAGACAGCGATACAGTTGGAAGGACAACATAGCTGCCTTGGAGACCCTACATCCAAGACAGGAGATAAGAATGTGCTGGAGATCCATTCCTGTCAAACTTTATTGTGGAGATGGCACCTGATTAATGATGATAATTTAAGTACTGCTTAAGTAACAGCAGAGCTTTTTTTGGTAGGTACGCAGCAGTACGCAGTACCAGCACCTTTGATTTAGATACATCATCTGTCATCCGTGTTACTGTAATAGATTTTGTAGCGACTACTGACAACTTGTTTCTGTTAGAGAAAATAACTTGAGCAAGAGTAGCAGTAATAGGATCTTTTGCAGCACTCAGATTGCAAAAGCACTTCTTGTCCTATATATTTACAGACCCACTTTACTTCCCACGTAATGTCTTGATAACTATTTAAAGCTGGGTCCGAGTCAAGGTCAATTCTAAAAATCTATATTGATGTGGATTCAAACCCCAGACTATTGAGTCAGCAAGCAAGTATCTAGCGACTGCAGCACAGAGGCTGTTACTTTCCAGAGCAGAATGAGTTAAATAAAAAGAAATCTGGAAGGGAGAAAACATGAATTTAAAATGTTATTACCTTAATTTAAAGGTATTTTTTCTTTCGTATTTCAGGTGCTCCAAGTCCCACTGAAGGTAAATTATGTTTATATGTATCTTAAGCAGTCATGTACTGTCAGATGTTTCAAAATTGATTATTACTTTCAGTAGCAATAAAAATAGTTCCCTCTTTAAAACAGCCAGCATTTGAGTCTGAATGAGTCAAGATCAGAAAAAGCTTAGCTTACATTTACATAGAATTTGTTAATACTTTCAGTCCTTTGCAACGTGCGATATGTAATAGACTTTTCTATGTGAATTCAAGCCATCAGTGTGATGTGTAATAGACTTTTCCATGTGAATTCAAGCCATCAGTGTGATGTGTAATAGACTTTTCCACACGAATCTTAGCCATCAATATGATGCGTAAAAGAATTTTCCATCTGAATCCCAGCCATCAGTGTGATAGAATTATTCATCTGAATTCCAGCCATCACTGTGATGTGTAATAGACTTTTCTACATAAATCCCAGCCTACACTTTGATGTGTAATAGACTTTTCCACATAAATCCCAGCCTACACTTTGATGTGTAATAGACTTTTCCACATAAATCCCAGCCTACACTTTGATGTGTAATAGACTTTTCCCCATAAATCCCAGCCTACACTTTGATGTGTAATAGACTTTTCCACATAAATCCCAGCCTACACTTTGATGTGTAATAGACTTTTCCACATGAATCCCAGCCTACACTTTGATGTGTAATAGACTTTTCCACATGAATCCCAGCCTACACTTTGATGTGTAATAGACTTTTCCACATGAATCCCACCCATCGTCTCATGTGTTGACTCTCATTTTACTGTACTGATCAGAGTACACTAACGCAATCTAGCTTCACCTTCAGCTACTTCCGCTGCGTATCTTTCCCGTTTTAAAGGTATGCATTGTGGACTTTTCATAGCGGTAACTTCTTCTTCTTCTTTGTGTTCACCAGCTGTACACTCTGGCGTAAAGTTCTGGTTGTTCGTCCACTTCTGGACTGCAGTCGTGCTCCAGAACCTGAGTGTTGCATGTGCATCAGTTTTACAGATCTGATTCAATTGAATGCAGACTGCTGGTTCCTTGCCTCTCAGGCAGATGCACTCCGACTTCAAAGGAAGCTCCCCAGTTAGTCGACTCTTACGACATGCTTTTGGGGAGGCAGTGGGTCTATTCTTGTTTTCCCCACAATAGGGCCCCGGAACCCACACGGGGGATAGCGGTAACTGATTCTTGTGGGCGTGCGCTGCAAGAGCACTTTGGCGTTGAAAAATATTAGTATAATAACTGTCAAAGTTAGACAAGGTAAAAATTGTAAATTTTACCTCCGGTAAAGAAAAAGTAAAAACAGTTGATTTTACCTCAGATACAGAAAAAAGTAAAAATAGTACATTTTACCTCAGATAAAGAAAATGTAAAATTACTAAATTTTACTTCAGATAAAGAAAAAGTAAAAATATTAGATTTTACATCAGATAAATAAAATGTAAAATTATAAAAAATTTTTTTACATCAGATAAAGAAAAAGTAAAAATAGTACATTTGACCTCAGATAAAGAAACTGTAAAATTACTAAATTTTACTTCAGATAAAGAAAAAGTAAAAATAGTAGATTTTAATTCAAAGAAAAAGTAAAAAAATAATAGATTTAACCTCAGATAATAAAAATGTACATAAATGTCGATAAACAGGAGGACTTCAATGAGCTGCTCTTTGCCGACGATCAATGCATATTTCACAGTGATAGTAAACAGCTGCAAGACCACATAAACCTACTACACGACAGTTGCCTCAAGCATCATATGAAGATCAATACTGAAAAGACAGAAGTCATGAGCATAAGTAGAGAGCAACAGACCATCGACATAAAGATTCTAGATCACAGCCTAAAACAAGTGCAAGAATTTAAATACTTGGGAAGTATCTTTACATCCAATGGTAAAATAGACAGAGAGATCGAAGCAAGAATCCAACAAGCCAACAATGTCGCATACCAGCTTGCCCCAATTTTAAAACACCCTGCTGTCCCAGCTGAGATAAAAAGACAAATTATAAATACAATCTTTATACCGACATTAGGTTATCAATGTCAGACTTGGACATTATAACAAAAGAACACGAGAGAAGACTAACTACCTGTGAAATGAGATGTTTGAGAATGGCTGCGAATAAAACCAGAAGAGATCGAGTGAGAAACGATGTGATTACAAGAACTATTGGAACCATACCCATCGTTAAATTTATTGAGAAGCAAAGAATGAAATGGTTTGGTCACCTAATGAGAATGGAACCAACGATGCCAGCATCAAGAGCATACAACATGAAAATCGAAACACCAAGAGGCAGGGGAAGACCAAGAAGAATATGGATTGAAGGAGTCACTGACAACTTGAGACTTCATAACATCACGGCATATGAAGCGACTGAGCGCGCCCTGGCTCGGTTGCCGATCATCTGATAGACTGCGACGCCTAGCGGCACAAGCAGATTTTGACAAAAGAAGAAGAATAAAAATGTAAAAATAGAAAATTTTACCTCAGATAACCAATGATTGTTTGGTTAACTACATGGTATCAAAAGAGTTGTTATCTTGTAATCATAATGAAGGTTATTTTTAGGATTCCTTTCGCAGTCTGTCTTACGTTTTTGGAGCTAAATATATGAGCATATAATGAATCATAAAAAGTAGCCACACATGTGGTAATCGTATCAGACTCCACAAACTTGCTTAAAACAAATTGCAACAGGTAGTCTGTACTTTAAATGGGTAAAGCTAGTTTCGTATACTTTACAGAACTTATCAGAACCGACCCCCTGTATTTGTGTGTGTGTGTGTGTGTGCGTATGTGTGTTGCTGCTGCTGTTGTTGTTTTTCTAGGCAAATATAACTGTAAGTAGTTTGCCATTGCTTCCTGGACGATTGGCTCTCGATACCACTCAAAACCAACACAAGGTGAAAGGTTGCCTGCAGTTGGGATTGAATCCGGTATCCCGGCCTTACGAAACGCGTTAATAACGTCTAAGCCACAGATGCCGACTAATGGGGTGACAGCGTTCACAAGTCACTCTTGTCAACCAGCATAGGACTGGCACTATTAACTGCTCGACGCTGATGAATATGTTAAGGGGGAATCTGAGCACCTCTGGATGTGTCCAGAGTGTTGTGAAGATATCCAACTCATAACTGTACAGCTACAAGTACCAAAAGACAAGGTACCAGATTATGATGATTATAAAGAACATTTAATTGTTATAATTGTTAATATCTTTTTATCTCTCTAGAATTTCAATAAACTTTTTTGTGGTTTTTTTTTTTTTTCTTTGTTTCAGATAGATCCAAATACGACAGTGCCGCATTTCTCGTGACATCCCTAATGCAAACATGTATTGCATTGATTCTGGCCATACTGTTACACTGATCTATATTGTACGCTACGTTAGATTTTCCTGTTGAAGCTTCAGTATCTGCCTTTCACTTATTCACGAGTTTACTTTTCGTCTCATTATGTAATATAGAAATCCAGAGATATATATATATATTCTGGTATACGTGATTGTAGAATCCCAATGTATTTGATCGTAGAACGCTGATAAACTCATACCTTGGTTTTACAGACACCATTTAATGGATATATTGAAAGCAGCCAACAGAATTTGGAGCCGTTAACTAAGTATTTTTATTTTTATTTTCGAGCATAATCTGATTGTAAGATCATGTAAATTTTGTAAACATTTGAAATAAAAATTTACAGTGTACATGTATTGTACTTTGCCACATTGGATTTTCTACTTGATTAAGAGTATTATCCTCTTTTTAATATAATTGTTAGTATGAGCCACTGTTCTATTTAATCAGCTTTGGACATTCAACAACATCAAGCAAACTGGATGGTCCCACGCTTGTATCTGTTAATATCTTAATGCCTTCCTAATTATACTAGTTAACAACCATAATATAAAATGGATTCAATAAGAGTAATGTTTTCCTTGGTGCAACAATAGGAAAACTTTGCTGTTTATTGTCATTTGCTGAAAAGCAAAGAAGAAATACAGATGTATTCTTTTTAATGAATACCCTGCCTACTTTGTAAGAATAAATATTTTAACACATTTTTCAAGAAATTTTGTAAATGCCCAGCGAAACAAACTTTGAAGTATATATAATTTTATATCATTTTATTAGCTTTTAATATTAAATATGACATTTTAAAAATAATTTCTTATGCATTGATCGAGCTTTCTCATTTACAATCTATTAACTGGTCCTTCTTTTCAAGTTCTTTAACATAAAGGAATGCATTTTACAAGTAGATTGTAGTATTATTAATAAGAAAACATGTATAAAGTATGAATAACATATTTCAGAAGAAATAGCTGGTCCCAATGTTACTCAGTGCTACCCATTCGGAAAATTACATTTTGATGGAAACTATTACCTTTTATCCACTGGCAAACTACTCTGGTAGCATAATATATGTATGTCTAACCATTATCAGCAGACGACTCTTAGAGAATGTCTAATGAATGGGGGACAATTGTTGTAATTTTGCATATATAGAAACTCTAAACGTACAGTTCACATTTTTATCTCCCATAAATACCAGAGTTTTTTTTTTTTTTTTTTCATCGAACACCGGCTGTGAATTCCAGTGGAAGGTCAGGTAATCGTCCGCTTGGACTTTTGGCTTTCACCTGGACCTGCTTTTTGCGTGTACAACCGTTTTTTATTTCCCTGCCTCATGGGCAGCTGTACGCCGACTTCGAAGGAACCAGAGTTTTAAAAATGAGGCTCTAAAATTCAGTGGAATATTAATTACACAGTGTTTGTTTTACTAAGAAGCTGTAGATATTTGGAACTCTTTCAGAGAATAGCATTATAGATGTATACCCTGCCATCAACAACAGAAACGTCCCTTAGAGAATATCTCTTGAATGGGAGACAATGTAGATTTTTTTTTTATATATAACAACTGTAAAAAGTACATATAAATATGATTTTACCTCCAATATTTTGAAGAATTAGCTTCTAGTAATTTAAGTGGAATATTAATTACATAGAGAACACTGTTTGTGTGTGTGTGTTTTGTGTAGCTGTAGTTACTTTGTTATTTCTTACAGCATTATATAACAGCTAGATGCTTGCTTTCTAGCCTGAAGATCTTAGGGTTCAAATTGTCATGAATGTATTCATCCCCTTATAGGATGCAAAGTTTCGTTATTATGAAGACCCAACCTGGCTCTTGGCCAGGAGCTGCAATATAGCCCAGCCATAAATATGACCTAATGGCTGAACGCGGTTTCCGGGAACTCTCCACGGGTGATCCTTATCCACATGGTGGCACTTTGTGTCATCGGGTGTTTATCGCTTGTGTGATGTCCTGGTGGGGTAAAATGTACTACTACTTCCACTACTAGGGTTCAAATTTGCATCAGGGAGCAGTTTCGAAATTGGCCTAGGGTTCCAAGATCAACCCAGCCTACACTTTGTACCAGCAAATGCCCTGGGTAGTAAAGACTACAGACGTGATGATCACATCACTCATCGAGTGTTGCCTGGTCTATATAAAACTATGGGTCTAGCGCCTCATGCCTGATGTGCTCAAGTCCTTTGAAGGGTCCTTTACTTTTACTCAGGGGAGCCGCAAGGACATAGCTAGACGCTCGCCTGCGGATCAGAAGGTCTGGGGTTTGGGTTCTGGTGGAGCCGGACTATTTTCAAAAATGACCTTGGCTTCCAAGTCGTCCCAGCTTTTAGTGGGTACCAGATACAATCCTGGAAAGTAAAGGCTGCTAGTGTGATACATCGCCCACCAAGTGCTCATTGGTCTGTAAAATGTAGGTCTAGCACCATATTTTCAATACGCCTGAAGGCCAGGAACGGGTCCTTGACCTTTTTTTAAAATATACTTTACGTAACTTTTATTAACTAGTTTCGGATGAGCTTGATTTGGTTAAGTTCATAAAGGATAATTTTAATTTTACCTTAACCACGTCACTCCGAGAAGCCTAAATCTAGTTACTTCTCCTTGTGCACAGTCCCCCTATGTGACAATCTACCTGCATTTCTGCAATGACTTGTTCTTGAATTGTGTACGTCAGTGCTACTGGTTCTGATTGCACCTGCACATAAAAATTTGTTAGTGACCCATCTTTTTCTACAAGTTTTTGTTTTCTGGGAACTCCAGCGGCTGTGTGACCCATTTTTTTCTCTCTAATATTGCTTGCGGGGAAGGGTTAAGTGCTCCCATCTCCTCCCATTCATCATGTAATGAGAAACTCGGCGCAGAGCACACACCCTGTAGCTTGGAAATAACCCCATTATGTGTGCACCATAATCACATATACTATCAATTTTCTTTTTTAATGTCTTTTGTGTTTAGTTGTGGGCTGGTTATTTTTTTTCTAATCTAACAATTTTCCTGGAGAGAAGTTTATTCAGTGAACTTTTGGGAGGCGGGGAGGGGGGGGGGGGGGGGGTTGGGTGGGGATCTTTTCTAATTTGAAACTGTTGTCTTGAACAGAAGCTTATAAGTCTGCCTTTTTCTTCTTTCTTCTTCCAATTTCTAACTGTTGGGACATTTTTAACGTATGCATCATGTACATGGTTCTACAATTTTTTTTTTAATCTTATCCAAGTATACTAGGCATATGATCCACTACCAAAGATCACATCAGAGAATATCATCCTATGTTATAATATGAATGTGCGCATAAAATAATTAGACTCAATCCCTGTCTGGTGTAGACTTCAGGTTATTTTGTAACTGTTGGGGCCTCCAGTATAACTTAATGGTTAAACGGGATTTGATGGGATCTGAATAAGTAGGATCCTCATCCTTGTGGACTGAAATTTTAAAGGGGATAAATTGCAAACAATCACAAGCAGTTTAAATCCTAGATCAAGACTAAAGTCCAGAAGTGGGCGAACAGCCAGAAAGTTCTACCAGAGTTCACAAACACTGAACTCTGAGGAGCAGGAGAAGGAGAAGAAGAAGAAGAAGAAGAAAGAAGAAGAAGAAGATGAAGAAGAAGAAGAAAAGAAGAAGAAAGAAGAAGAAGAAGAAGAAGAAGAAGAAGAAGAAGAAGAAGAAGAGACACTGTTATATGTTTACCAGTATCACATATACCATCTATTTTCTGTTTTTGTCTTTTGTGTTTGTTTGTGGGGGTATGTTTTTCTAATCTGACAATTTTCCGGGGGAGAAGTTTATTCACTTTACTTTTCTTTCATGTCTAACTGTTGAGGCATTTTTAATGTATGCAAAATGTACAAGGTTCAACAAGTTTTTCATCTTATCCAAGAAGACTAGACAGATGATCCAAATGTAAAGATCATGGGACAGTATATCATTCTGTGTTAGATTATATGACAGGCTTTTCAGATGGTGACCCACAGGGCAAACTGGGCTCACAGATACCACAAAAGTGACCCACAGATCATTGCTAACAGTAAGGTACTAGTGATGTTTCTATGATGGGACTCTGACCTCAGGCCCGCGACAATCCCGACGTTCAACATTTTGGCCCAAGTTTAAACTTAGCTGAAAAGCACCGTTTTATTAGAATCCAAAACACATTTGGAAGCTTAATGAATGTATAAGCAAAGGGAAGCAATCCCATTACTATTGTTTATTTCATGAGTTAACTCATCATCTATTTCACTAATAACAATCTGTCATCTCCTTGTGAGATGCAATTTTTCTCTATTTTGAAGCCCTACCCTGGATCTTGCCAGGGGCCGCAATATAGCCCGACAAAAAAATATGGTCTAATGGCTGAACGCGGTTTCTGGGATCTCTCCAGGGTGATCCTCATCCACATTGTGGCACTTTGTGTCAACAGCTGTTTATCGCTATGTGTGATGTCCTGGTGGGGTACAATTTTCTACTACTACTACTAAAGCGATCCAGTCAAATATATACTGTCATCACGTCCCAATTTGGAATGTAATTTGTGGTTACTATAAAGCCCCATCCCTTTGTCGGTGGCTCTTAATATAACCTACAGGTTGATTAGGGTTTCTGAGACTTGCACCTGGTTGATTCTCCTCTGAATGGTGGCACTTTGTGTCACCCGGTGTTTATTCCTTGTTGTGCGGTCCTGGTTCCTCTTCAAGTCTATGTCCTGTGACATTGGTGACCTTCTGTCTTGTGTATTTTCAGTCAACTCTGACACAGATTACCCTCCATGCCATTATGTCAAACTGTCCAGTTTTCTCCTTCTCACCACATGACCAAAGAATATAGATTGTCTCTTTCTGATGTGGGCAATCAGTTCTCTTCGTGATTCCATTTCTTTTAAGACGTCTTCATTAATCTTGTTATCTGTCCGGGTATTCTCATCATTCGTCTATAAAACCACATCTCCACAGCTTCCAAATAAGTTTTCATTTTTTGACTAACTGTCCTTGATTCACTTC